ATTGTAAATGAAACTCTTAAAACTCAATTATCAATGCTAATCACATTAGGATTCAAAAGAACTTTCTAGAGGATTCTAGAAGACTATAATCAATCCTAATTTCATTAGGAATGATAAATCATAATAGGCCCTCCTCTAGATCATTGGGCCGCATATAAAGATCAAATCGGGCCCAGTTTAGTAATTTGGCCATAACTTCCTCATTATTCATCGGAATTGGGCTTATAATATATCGTTGGAAAGATCTTTTTGAACCCAATCCAACTACACTATTATTAGACACTTTTCATGGACCAAACTAAACTGGATTGGCTATTTTCATAAAATAGGTTTTTAAAAAAGGAGAGAAAGAAGAGAAATAAAACTAACCGTAACACTAGACTTTCCACACTTTCACTTCACGACGTGAAAGGTACTCATCACTGGGTTTGGTTTTGGGGAGACACAAATGGGTGTCTACACGGAGGATAGAGGTTTGATTCAAGGTTTCAAACAAAAGCCAAGTGAGAGCCTCTATGATGCGTGGGAGAGATGGAAAGAGTATCAAAGGGAGGGTCCTCACCACAGAATTCCAACCTATCAAATTATTCAAATTTTCTATGGAGGCCTAAGTCCCCAAGGCAAGTCATGCCTGATGGGGGAGCCAGAGGTCCCATTATGAATAGGACGGAGGAAGAAGTGGTAGACATCATTGAGGAAGTTGTGAGGTACTATAGATATTGGCAAGATGGGGAGAGGGATTCAACTAGAAAGAGTAGCTCTTCGGTGTACTCGATTGATCATCTAAATGCAATCAACAATCTCTCCTCACAAATGACAAACTTGGGGAAGGAAATGATTGCAATTAAGGAAAAATTGGAGAGTTCTTCTTTCCAAGCTTCAAATCTTCCCTCCTAATTTAAGGGGAGAGGTACATCTTCTAACTCTCATCCCTCTCCTTCTTCTAGCAACATGCCTAGGGGTTGTTTGTTTTATGATGTGTGTTGTTCATATGATCATGATGCTTGTAGTTGCCCTCATGCTTTTCCTAATAGTAATGATGATTTTGATAACAATGAGAGTGAACATGTGAGCTATGTGTCAAATAATAATAATGTGCAAAGGTTTGATAATCAAAGGGGTCAATGGAATAGGAATTACCAAAACCAAGGTAATTTTGACAACTATAACCAAGGTGGTGGTTATAGGAACAAGGGATTCAAGGTTCTCGAGGTAACTATAACAATCAAGGTTATAGTAGCCAAAATCAAAACCAAAATTATGGTAATCAAAACCAAGGTTATGGAAATCATAATCAAGGTAATGGTAACCATAATCAAGGTTATGGTCAAAATCAAAATAGGGGTAATTGGAACAATCAAGGTAGGGGCAATTTTCAAAACAATGCTTAAAGAGACCCTCCACCCGAAATTCCTCCGAAGACTCAAGGTGATAATTCCTATTCACAATCCTCTTCTTCTAGGACTAATTTGAAGGAAATCATTGAGAATCAAAAAAAGTTGTTGAACACTTACATGGTCGGAAGTGACAAGAAATTCAATGAAATGATGACTCACAATAAGATGCTTTAAACCCAAATTTCTCAACTTGCCAATGGTTTGAAAGATCATGCTAGTCCTTCTTCTTTACCTTCCCAAGGCCTAGATCCCAAGAGACCCGTGAATGCTATTGTTATAAGGAGTGGTAAGGTTCTTGAGGAGAGTTTGCCTAAGAAGAGTGAAACTAAGGAAGTCCCCAAGGAGGTCTTAGTAGAGGATGAGAGAGATGGTGCATCTTTGAGTGAGGTTGTGATTGAGACAACTAGAGAGGTGAGATTAGAGAAATAAATTGTGAAACCCAAGCTTCCTTATCCACAAAAATTCATGAGATACAATTTACATTAATAATTTGGAAGATTTATTGACATGCTCACACAAATTCAGCTTTCTCTACCATTTACCGGTCACACAAATGCCCAACTATGCAAAATTCCTCAAAGACATTTTGAGTGGTAGGAGGACTTGTGATGTTGTAGAGACGGTGAACTTGACCAAGAATTGTAGTGCAATTATAATGAACAAGATGCCACCTAAGCTCAAAGATCCCGGAAACTTCTCTATCCCTTGTGCTATTAACAAGATGCAAATTGATAATGCCTTATGTGACTCAGGAGCTAGTGTTAGCCTAATGTCATATTCGTTCTATCAAAGACTTGAACTAGGGGAACTTTTGCCTTCCAACATCAACTTGTAATTGCCCGATAGGTCAATCAAATTTCCCAAGGGTAAGGTAGAGGATGTTCCTTTGAGAGTAGGGAAGTTTGTGATTTCGGTGGATTTTGTGGTTCTTGAAATGGATGAAGATGCTACCATTTCTATTATTCTTGGTAGACCTTTTCTTGCTACCTCGGGTGCCATGATTGATGTTAAGAGTGCAAAATTTTCACTTAAGGTAGGAGATGAAGTCATTGAATTTAACTTAAATGAAAGCATGAAGTATCCATGTTCTTCTTTAGAAAATTGCATGATGATTGATTCTCTTGATCATGTTGTGTCTTCCATGCATGAGCACTTGCTCACTTCTAATGATGCTCTTGAGAATGTTTTGTTGAACAATGAAAAGATAGGTACTCCTAGCAAGGAAATGGCTTGGTATGAAGATGTGCTAAATGGAGGCATTGAGGATGTTGAAGAGCAAATGTGTTTGAGCAATTCTAGCCAAGAAGAGTTGCAAGTGGAAACATCGAAAGAAGGTAAAGGTGTTCCTGTGGTTGAGCTCAAACCTCTCCCATTACACCTTAGGTATGAATTTTTGGGACCCAATTCCAATTTTCCCGTGATTGTTAGCTCTTCTTTGAGTGAGCACCAAGCTCAAAAGTTGTGTGGTGTTTTGAGGAAGCATCAAGGTGCTTTGGGTTATATCATTGATGACCTCAAGGGTATAAGCATTGCTTTATGTTTACATCACATAACTCTTGAGGAGGGTGCTTTACCTTCTATTGATAGACAATGAAAGCTACATCCCCAAATGGGAGACGTAGTGAAGAAGGAGATCACCAAACTTTTGGATGTGGGAATCATATTCCCCATTTCTAGTTCTAGGTGGGTTTCTCCCATTCACGTTGTCCCAAATAAGGGAGGTATGACCATTGTTAAGAATGAGAAAGGTGAGCTCATTTCGACGAGGATGGTTACGGGATGGAGGATATGTATAGACTATAGACGTCTAAACACATCTACAAAGAAAGATCATTTCCCCCTTCCTTTTGTTAATCAAATTCTTGAAAGACTAAAAAGGCACAAGTTCTATTGTTTTCTTGATGGTTATTCCGGATTTTTCCAAATCCCTATCCACCCGGATGACCAAGACAAAACAACCTTCACTTGTCCATATGGTACATTTGCCTATAGGAGAATGTCGTTTGGCCTTTTCAATGCTCCCGCGACATTTCAAAGATGCATGATGAGCATATTTAGAGATATGTTAGAAGAGGAGATGGAGGTTTTTATTGATGACTTCTTCGTAGGAGGTGTTTCATTTGAGGCATGCCTTAAAAACCTTGAAAATGTCTTGCAAGGTGTGAGAAGGTGAACTTGGTCTTAAATTGGGAGAAATATCACTTCATGGTGGAGGAAGGCATAGTCCTTGGCCACAAGATCTCTCACAAAGGGATAAAAGTGGATAAAGCTAAAATTGAAGTCATTGAAAAGCTTCCACCTCCGGTGAATGTAAAGGGAGTGTGATCTTTCTTAGGGCATGCTGGTTTTTATAGAAGATTCATCAAGGATTTCTCGCTCATTGCAAATCTCCTCAATGATCTTCTTCAAAAAGATGCCGAGTTTGTATTTAATGATAAGTGTTTGGAGGCATTCAATAAGTTGAAGAAAACTCTAATCTCTACTCCTATTGTTCAAGCTCCAAGGTGGGATTTACCATTTCAGTTGATGTGTGATGCAAGTGATTCGGCAATAGGAGGTTTCTTGGGTCAAAGAGTGGACAAGAAACTTCATGTGATCTATTATATGTCCAAGACTCAAAATGGAGCTTAACGGAATTACACTGCAACGGAAAAGGAATTCTTGGCTATAGTTCATGCTTTTGAGAAGTTCCATTGTTATCTATTGGGTTCCAAGACCATTGTCTTCACGGATCATGCGGCTCTCAAGTATCTTTTTTCCAAGAAAGAGTCCAAGCCAAGGTTGATCCGGTGGGTTCTTGAGCTCCAAACCTTTGACATTGAGATTAGGGATAAGAGAGGAGCGGAAAATGTTGTGGCGAACCATCTCTCTCGTTTAGAAGATTCTCAAACTCATGATGATGGTTCTCCAATTGAGGATAGGATTCTTAATGATTTCTTGTATGCTATTGAAGCAAAGGAGTTCCCATGGTTTCCTGATTTAGTGAACTTTCTTGCATGTGGGGAGTTTCCTCCTTCCTTTTCTAAGAACCAAATAAAGAAGCTCAAGAGAGAGGCAAGACATTATGTGTGGGATGATCCCATCTTATACAAGCGAGGGGTCGATGGCTTACTTAGACACTGTGTGCCAAATAAAGAGGTGCCTAGTGTTTTGAAAATGTGATATTCGGATCCAAGCAGGGGCCATATGGGTGTCTTTAAGACCGTCACTAAGGTTGCCTTCAATGCGGTCTATGGTGGCCACATCTCTTTAAGGACTTATGGGGCTTTGTTAAGATATGTGACCGATGTCAAAGAGTTGGGAACATCTCCAAGAGAAACGAAATGCCTCAACAACCCATATTCGAGTTGGAGGTGTTTAATGTATGGGGTATTGACTTTATGGGGCCATTTTCCTCATCTTTAGGAAATCAATATATCCTTGTGGCGGTCGACTACGTGTCTAAGTGGGTCGAGGCCATTGCCTCCCCAACTAACGACCACAAGGTGGCTATGAAGTTGTTTAAGAAAATAATCTTTCCAAGATTTAGGGTACTGAAGGCGGTGATAAGAGACAACCGTTCTCATTTTATTCACCATTCCTTTCAAAAAATGATCAGGAAGCATGGAGTCCATCAAAGATTTGGCCTCCCATCCCCAATCGAGCAGTCAAGTGGAAGTCTCCAATCGTCAAATCAAGCTCATCCTTGAAAAGACGGTTGCGAGAAATCAAAAGGATTGGTTGGAAAAGTTGGTTGATGCTATTTGGGCCTATAGGAAGGCTTTCAAGACCCCCATAGGTACCACTCCATACCTCCTAGTCTATAGCAAGTCATGCCATCTCCCGATTGAAATTGAACATTGTGCTTTGTGGGCAATCAAGAAGATAAATTTTGACTTGGCAAGTGCGGGGGAGAAAAGGTGGTTAGATCTTCATGAGCTAGAGGAGCTTCGGCTTGATGCTTATGATTGTGCTAGTGTGTACAAGGCTCGTTCCAAGGAAACACATGACAAGCTTATTGAGAAGCAAGATTTTTGTGTTGGTGATAAAGTTCTTCTCTACAATTCAAAAATGAAGTTGTTTCTAGGAAAGCTCATGTCAAGATACATCAGTCCTTATTTGGTCAAGAATGTTTTTCCAAGTGGTGTTGTAGAGGTCTCAATGATGGATTCTTCTTCTGCGTTTAAGGTCAATGTCCATCGTCTCAAGAAGTATTTCGACGGTTCTTTTGTTGGCCTTGTTCACTCATTGCTTCTCCGACAACCACCTTAATTGGTGGAGGATGTCGAGCTATGACGTTAAACAAGCGCTACCCCGGAGGCAACCCGGTTTTCTAACCTTTTTCTTTTGATTTTACAATTTTCTATATTTCTTTTATCTTTGAGAACTTTTCTTATTTATCTTTATTTTTGTTTGTTCTCTTAATTTTAGGTACCATGAGATTGGATCGAAGAAAATTTCCAACAATTTTGGTGTTACTTCAAGGTTTCATGAGGTTTAGTTAAGATTAGGTGAAAGTGTTCGTTGGGGTTATATATTATCGTGTTTGAATTTTCATTGATTTTTATATTCATGTTCGAGTAAATTTTGGGATTGTCTTTGTGAAATTTTTGAATACTTGATCATAACACTCGATAACGCCGATGAAAATGCAAACACGAAAGCATATTCAAGGGTATTTTCCCTAACCTTTTGCTAAAATCTTGCCGGAATTTGATCAAAGTTCCATCCTCCTATGGTGCATGCACACCCCCTACCTGCGTGTGCGAACCAAAGGGGTCAGGTATTTTGGAAAAATTTTAGCATTTGGTTGAAAAATTAAGCCCTCCCCGAGCTGAATGTGGTGCGCATGCACCAAGGCCATATGCGCGAAAAATCGCCCCTAGCATGTTCCAGCCGGTGCGCACGCACCTAGCCCCTACGAGAAAGCACCAGCCGCAACAGATGAGTGCGTTCGCGCCCCCCTTATTACCCCTCAACGCATCCCCCTTATTCCTCCTTTCTCTCTCCCCGATTTCTCCCTTGCTTTCCCAACTTCATTCTCTCATCAAACCCTTCATCTTCTCTTGCAAAAATCAAACCAATTTCGCTTCTTTTATTTTCATTTCAACATCAAATTACAATTAACACATCATATTTTCGAAAATTAACATAAAAATTCCATATTTTTGCACAAATTTTCGAAAATGTTGGGGTTTTTTTTTTAAATTTGAAGCTTGGTGTTGAGGTTTGGAACTTATCTTTGGTTGTTCTATTTGTTCTTTAATCTTCATTTTGGGCAATTTGCAAATAATTCAAGGTTTCATTGAGGTATAATTCTCATTTGCTAGTCATCTTCTTCCTCATTGTTCAAGCTTGAAACTCTTGTTTTTGCTTTCATGGTTGAACTCCATTGTTAGTTCTTTTAACTTGTAATTTGTGTTGAATGATGTCATTGAGTGTTGAATTGAAGCTTTTTCATGATGAATTTGTATAATTTGATTGAATACTTGAATCACCAATGTTGGTCATTTTCTCTCTCATGGGTATTCTTTATGATGGTTTTATTTCTTTGATAATTCAATGTTTGAGATTATTTTGCTCAATTTTATTCATGATTTGGTCTCTTATGTTCAATTTTGCCTTTAATCCATGCCTATTTGACTCACATTCATGATTCTATATTAATGGCATTGTTCATATGTGGCCATCTCTTGCTTCAATTTTAAGATAATTGCATTTGTGCTTGATTTTTGAGCAATTACTTATGCTTATTCTTGAAATTTGAATGCTAAGTTTTGCTCATGAGTTTTTTTCCTTCTTGTAGATGGCTCCAATCCGTTAAAAGAAGCGGGCAAGATCAAGTTTAAGCAAACCTAGGCATGTTGTTCCACCTCTACCCGAGGTAGAAGAAACATACGGCATTGAATTTTCTAAAGAATCACATTGGGATCGTTTCAAGCGTCTATCAAAGAGGAAGCTAAGACCAACAAGATTTTACAATCAAGTAACAACCAAGTTTCTCGGAATAGATGAGGACGTTCACGTTCTTGCAAAGGGCCTTGATCTATTAAAGTTTTTGGATTTGAGCGCCCCTACTTATGCTAGGGTGACCTATGAATTTCTTTCTTCTCTTGAAGTAGTCCGAGAACCGGGTGAAAATTTCTCAACGATTTTGACTTTCCAACTTTTCAATAATGATCAAACATTGACGGATTCTCAGCTATGTTCCTACTTCAAGTTTCCATAGGCCATAGATGCGGATCATTGTATCTATCCGGCATATAGTAGAATGGCGAGTGACCATGGATATAATGAGCAACGTTGGTGGAGAAGTATCTCGGAGGAAGGAAAGTATGAGCCTTAAAATTCCAAGACCGCTTCCATGATTCATCCGGCTATGCGGTATTTCAACCGTATCCTTACTTACTCCCTTTGCTCCAAGGACTCTATGGGAGCTATCTCCTGAGAAGAGCTTTGTTGGTTGTGGATAGCCAACCAAAACGACCATGAGATTAAGCTAGTGGATTTCACAGAGCATTTGATCAATCGGACCAAAATTTCCTCGTTCGTACTAGAAAGGATGATGTTTTCATTTGAAGAGTTTCCCAGATTAATGAATGGTTCCTAATCCCATGCAAAGAGTCAACTACCCGACCAAAAGAGAAATATTCCTTGTCTTGGAGGCCTCCGGTGCGAGATATTGATCCTTCTATTCGACAAAGGACGAACCATACAAAAGGCCGCTCAACCAATGTCTTCTCAACGAATGTTCAAACTCTTCCCCCGGTTGAACCGGGAGGTACGCCTATTCCTTCCCCCTCCCCTACTCTTTCTACTTTTGATTTGTCAACCATTCAAGCTAGGTTTGATTCTATTGCTAATGTGTTATTCTCTATGCCTTCGGTGCAAAACTCATATCTTGGTTATGACTATCATGCAAATCAACTGTACGATTTTCATGTTCGGAGGGGGGAGATTGAGCCCTATGTGAATTACCCGTATCTCCCGGTCCAACAAAGACCTATCCCTCCATGGGAGCCTTTTGATCCTACCGTGGGTCCTAGGCCTTGCTACCCTTATTGGGAGGGCCCTCATGTTCACCCTAGTTCTATCATAGGCACCACCCCGGCCACTTACAACTATAGGCGGCCCGGTGGTTGTGATTATACATATGATCCCGCTAACCCTTCGCCCTTTTTGGACCCCACTGTAATCACACACTTAAGCATGGTGGCGTCCAAAGGGAAGGAAGATAGAGCAAAAGAGTCGCCAACTAGTTTTAGGAACTTATAAACCATTCACAGGGCGAAGGTTACACCCCTTAATGATCCATGAGATTTTCATCTTCAATAGGTCTGGAACCATGACTAGAAATTCGGGGATGAAGGTACAAATCCAACCTAAAAGAGATTGAACCTGCCCTAATAATAGGCCTCTACTTTATTCTTCTCGTATTCAGTGCGCTTTCTGACTAACATGCAATCATTAGGTTTACCCTAAACCTGTTTAATCTATGTTGGTTGAATATTAATGCACAAACAAAACTATTATTGGCAATCACTTGAATTATAATAAAATTATCCCCAAACAAGATTATTAATTATCTTATTAAGCATGATTACAAGTACAAATTCCCTTTAAACATGCATAAAAGGCGTGATCAAGCAATAACAATAAATAATATCAAGCAACATGATAATAATAACAAATCATAATCATAATCATGTCAAAGCATAATAATAGCAAGATCCTAGGTATGATACTAACAAGATTAATAACAAACCCTAGCATGTCACTAAACATATAAAGATTAAAGTTTTAAACCTAACATGATATTAGGAAAGAAAATAGGAAGCATCATAGAAATCATAATTGATATTAGGAACTTATTGTTGTCACCCTAAACATCATACTAAGAAAAGCATCCTAACATGATACTACGAAAAACATCCTAACATGATACTAGGAATCAAAATAACAACCTAAACATGATTTCTATATCAAAATATCAATAAAACAATTAAATTACTTACTTGGATGCCTCCTATCACTTTCTAATAACAAAATACACGAGTTAGTAACTTCAAGGAAAATAATAAAATCAAACAATTAAATTATATAATTGAAATAAAGATTAAGACTAGATTTGGGACCAAACCCTCAAAAATATTAAACCTTTCACGTCTAGGGCGAAGGCAACTTCAAACTTGGCTAGGTGTGTCTAGATCTTATGAATGCAAAATTTTGTTTGTGAAACATTAGTTTAGAAAGAGAAAGAGAGAGAGTATCAAGAATTTCTTGATGAGAGTTGGTGATTAAAAACGGAGGTTTAAGGAGGCTATTTTTAACGAAAATCAGCTGTAATATGATAAAAAATAATCAGAGTTTCGAGAAAAATAAAACATGACACTATCGGCACACAAGCCTCTATCTCTAAACGACAAAGCATGTCGCCGAGCCGGTCTTAGATGATTGGTCTCATTTTTTTGAGGTTGATAGAGCTAGGAGGGAAGGTAGGTTAAGGGGTAAGGCTCCCATGGAGGTGAGCGAGATGGCTAGCTCTAGTCATATGATGGAGACTGATGGGTGTCATAAATGGCACCCATTTGATGATTATTTAGGTTTTTTTTTCTTCTTTTTATAGCTTTCTTTCTTAATAGATACTTAGTTTTATGCTTTGTTGCTTAGTTTTACCTTTCCTTTCTTATTTTGTAGCTTTTGTGCATCTCGTTGGTTTTCTAGTATTTTCTCCTTTATTTGCTCTATTTTCGTGGTTGTAGGTATTGTATGAGGTTTGGGTCTTGATATTGGTGATCTACTAAGGTGGAGAAAGCCTTTGGAGCAAGCTCACATCATTTGGAAAGCTCAAGATGCAAGGAAGTGGAAATTCCAAGTCTTTGCTCTTGCGCTCTCATGCCGTGCTACCATTAAGAAGTGGTGTACCCACTAATCAAGAGCATTAGCTACTGCCACTCCTAGTGTTCATCATCATCATAGTCGTGCGACCTTAGCGAACGCGTGAAGCCGCGAGAATTTTGAAGAAACCCAGAAAAGCGCGGGCGCGCAAAGCACGGGTGTGGGCGCACCACCCCATGGCGCGGGCGCGCCTCCCCTGCTGCGCGGGCACGCCTTCCTGGGTATTTGTTGCTCGGTTTTTGATGTTTTCGCGCCTCTATAAATACTATTGTAACCCGATTTTTTTGGGACAAGTTTTCATATTAGATTTTGATCATATTCTTAGCTTAGTTGAGAGCTTCTCTCTCTAGTTTTAGGGTTGGTTTAAGGAGTAA